GTTTACCTTTAGCTGCTATTTTTTACTAGACTAATACAAAACACTTCAATTGACATACTTTATGTGACCATTAATTTTAAGTAGAACCTTCCCTATTCACAACGGTATCTGTAACCCTTTTTTAAGAAACAAAAATGTAGAAAATATTGTCTTTTTTCTGTCTTATTTCTTCTAATTTTTTACACTTTCTCTCGTGCATAAATCTGCGAGTCACGTTTATAGTAAACAGGAATTTAATATAATAAGTTTAGAGTGAAAAAAGGAAATTTAATACTTTGGCTCGGACTAAGGTTAAAAGGGTACCATACTATTGTGAATCGGACTAAGGTTAAAAGGGTACCATACTATTGTGAATCGGACTAAGGTTAAAAGGGTATTTAATACTCAGCTTGTTTATTACTAGAGAACAATGATGGTCCCTCAGTTTTTTCACCTTTATAACCACTGGAATATTAACAGTTTATACCAAGGTATGCATATACTAAGGTTGGGGGGACAGGGTTTTTGTACCAAACAGACCTGTAGACAGCTAGAGAAAACTGTACAGTATACATGAAGAATACAGAATAGGCAAAACGGAACGGTACACCAAGTAATCATTAATGTGGTATAATTGGACCATGCCATGAACTAACTTGGTCAAAACAAAAACAAATATTGCAGCATGTAAACAACGAGGTAGGGGTAGGCAAGCCGGACCAGTTTACTAACTATTGTTTATTTGCAGTACAAATACGTCACAGTTAAACACGTCAAACTAAAGTGGATTGAATTTAGGATTGAAATATTACATGTTTTCAATAATAACTTCTCTAATTGTAGAGCTAAAGAGAAGAAAAACAATGTTTATAAATTTTTGATATGATTAATTGTTCCTCTCATAATTATGCATAAAAGTAATTAGAATTTAACAGTAATGGTTGGTCGAAATTACAAACATTTTATTTGACATTATGAAGAGAATGTTCGGATACATGTATGTTCCTATCATTCTATTTGTAATTTTAAAATTTGCTTACATTACAATGTTAAACATCTTTAGCATAAATAATTTAAACTATTGGTTTAATTAATAAATCTTTTTGGTTAAATCTTTTGTCAGGAAAAAATTCTGTTTATACAATGTAATAAGAGGAAATCCCTAGAAAATTCAAAATACTGAAGCATTTTAAATGTAGTTAAATCGTGAAATCTTACCTAAAAATATGCAATGAATATATTTCAACTGCAATGATTCACCCCGTTTATTTAAAAACAGCTGTCACATGTTTTAAACACAGAAAATTTTATTTTACAGTTTCTAAAAATATTTTTTAAAATATCACTCGTTAAAACAGTTGTATTTATTCAAACATATTTTGGACAGTTTTAACTTTTCATAACCTGGCTAGGGAGGCTAGGCCTGAGACCATGGATAGACAATTATTGTTTAAAAAAATAGGTTTAATTTTTGAAATACATTCTTTTGACTTATCAACATTTTTGTAAAGAAATATCAGTTTTTACACAGTTTTAATATAAATACAGGGTTAACCACACATGAATATTAAAATATTAAAGCACAAAAATGAAGAGGAAAGAATAAAAAATTAATTATTTTGCTAAGTGTTCTCCGAAGTAAAATAAAAATAAAACTTAATGAATTTAAGCCAGGTCGGTGAACTACTTACCGTCGATTCAAATACTAATCTGTATAGTTCTGCAGTATTAGAATCTATATAGGACATGGACCAATCCTGAATCTGTAGTTCTGCTGTATAGTTATTATCTATATAGGATATGGACCAATCCTGAATATGTAGTTCTGCAATATAGTTATTACCTATATATAGGACATGGACCAATCTTGAATATGTAGTTCTGCAATATAGTTATTACCTATATAGGACATGGACCAATCCTGAATATGTAGTTCTGCTGTATAGTTATTATCTATATAGGACATGGACCAATCCTGAATATGTAGTTCTGCTGTATAGTTATTATC